TGAAAGACACTATAATCAACCACTGCTGGCTGCAATTACATTGTGTACTTGATGTCTTCAGAAAGTACCTCTAGTTTAAAACCACAAATCTTTCAGTTTGAATTCTCTCCTGGCTCTGTTCTGTTTTGTTATTTCACAGGTATATTTACAGGAATGATTGCTATAGCATATGGGTTTATATAACAAAGATATTTTAAAAAATGAACATCAGAAGACTAAAATTTCATCAGCTATCTTTACACTGAAAAATTGTCATTTTTTTTTCTCTTTATGACTGATATTTACAAATGAATGCCTCATGGACAATGAAGAAAAAAGGGCATTTGGATTTCAGAACTGTAAAAGCTAATTCACACTTGAGAAAATTATTAGATGGAGACTTTCAGATCTGACTGGTCATAAGAGAGACATAACTGCAAAGTAAGCTCCAACTCAACAACTGCTTTTTAAGTCCAAGTTAATTATGGACAAGTCTGCAGTGTTACAGATTCTAAGCACATGAAACTTAGCTATTACTGAAAACATCTACCACGAAATTCTTTGCTATATATGAAAATGTATCAATATGATATATTCAAATATATGAATATGACACTGAAAATAAATGAACATGATAAATGTGGAAGCCTCTATTTGTTGAAGTTAGTTAGAATATTGTCTTTTCTTTGTGCAGCTATTGCTATTTTAACCTTACACACACACACCCTGTGATGAGAAAGTAATCTTTCTGCAGATTTTCCTTACAACCATTATCATATTGCAGTATTGCCTGGAGGGTAGCTGAACCACATACTTCACATTTGTGAGGACAGCCCCAAGGACAGTCTAGGGTACTGGCACCTCTGGGTCATTTAGGTTCTCTTAGGGACTTAGACATTGCTTCTTTGACATGGCTTTGCAACAAGGTAAAACCCAAGCAAATAAGCACCAGATCCTTACCTAGCATGCCTTATACCGTAGCACAATCACACCTTACACAGCAAACACAGGACCCACTGCCTAGCCATTATCCTCCTCCCTCATTAATGCTTTCCCCACCTTTCATTCCTCAGTCTTTGACAATGAAGTGTTGTTGATGTTTTCCTCTCTCTCAGGCTTGATGTGTTAAACACTTGCATCTGATGTTTGAGCCAGGGAAGGTCTTTCCAGCAGGACCACACGAGTGTGGAGGGTATCTCTCACTGCATGGTCTTGCCAGGGGACTAGTAACTGACTCCTGCACAGGGAAACTGTGAAGCTAAAGCCTTCAGTCTAGTTGCTGTCGCTGGCAGTGTGCTCTGTATAATTGTTTGGGATTTAGGCAGGGTCAGTTTTCCTGGCAAATGCAACTGGTGCTGTCTGGGTAAGCATCTAGAAGATATGATATCAGAATATATTTAGTGCATCCCATCATCTTCTACAAAATTAAATATAAATTAAAGCTTCCAGGGCAGAAACCTCCTTTTCTTCCAAAGGCAGTGGTAGTCACTTCATATAATACAGCTGTTGATGAAGCCAGGGACTAGTCCGCATCTTTCTACCAGCAACCGTAAATCAGACCTGATTTTGGAGCAGTAAAAGCACATACATTTTGCATTCATAGTATAATCTGCTAGAATGGAAGAGCGGTGTCTATTCTCTCTCTTTGTGTATTTTTCCTCAAGAACCTAAGCAGTCTCCATGAGGATGGATGCAATTTATTGTCACAAAAATAAATTAAAACAAAAAAACAAAACAAAACAAAACAAAACAACAAAAACTAAACCTAATTATTCCTGTTAGCTGGATTTTCAGATCCATATTACACTCACCCAGGCTATATCAGCATCATTTCCCATGCTCATTTTTCTAAATTACTATGCTATATCATCTATTAACTTTCACCTCCTCACTCAGTCACAGTGTGACTATAACAATACATTATTCATTCTTGAAAATACAATTAATGCTCATTCCAGTGTCCTAATGGACCTTAATCCTAATGTGTGAAGCTTTACACCCAACCCTCAAACAATGAAACTGTACCTAGATGACTAGGGAATAAAATATCTATTATACTGCCACTTCAGTCTGAATAAAGGTTATGTCAGAAACCTTTGAGAAACTGATGGTTGTTGACATATTTAGAGGATATTTAATATCTAATAATCAGCAGCCCATAACGAGATGTATAAATACATACAGAAACGTAATTGAATGCATGGGATCTGAAAATAAATTATGCTTGAGTCCAGAGTCTAGGACACTTTATAAAGCATATTCCTTTAAGATTCTATTGAGAGGGGAGTATTATGAAACAGAAAAAAAATGAATAAAAAATGTTTTCCCTCTCCTTGCTGATGCCTCTCGTGGGTAAGTCCTTTGCTAGTCTGGTTTATTTAATCACCAAGCGGGAACAGCAGCACAATCCACAGTGCTTAGTGAGAGCAGACATGGAACCTCTTTGAGGTTCCTCATGTCGATAACCTGCACCTGGTGCCTGTCACTGTGCCAGAAAGGCATATCCAGGGCAGAGCTCCCCGTTTCATAGGAGTGACTCCAATGGGCGTATTTTCTCTTTGACTTATAGTTGAAATAATTAAGTATGTCTCTGGAAAGGTGTAAATTTGCACTGAATTCTCACATTGGTGGCATTAAAACATTACCTATGTTAACAAGATACTGGGGGAGAGGGTGAATAGAAAGATTGACTGTGAATGTCATCACCTAGGGGAAATAATTCTGAAGTTGATATTTATAGTGATTAAGCAATTGTCTGAGGTTTTGATCCTTCAAAGAGGCATGAACATAAACTTTAAATCTGCGACTTGTCACACTGAAGACAGATCTGTGACTGCAGGTGATATTGCTTTTATGTTAACAATCATCATTCCTAAAGTTAGACTGGGAGGTATTTTAAGCTTAGGTGTGCAGATACCTTCTTATCCCATAAAAAGCACAGATTTGCTATATATTTGAGCTGACAGAGCTAAGCCAGTTTTCTCAGGCTGTTGTGGAGTAAAATTGTTTTTCACTCTTGACAGTAGATTAACCAGCTGACCAGCTGATGGTTGACAGAAACGCCATGTTTAAACCACTCCTTTTGTCTTACTTTCTTTGTGCAATGTGAAGAAAACAAAGATTTTAACCCCCATCCCAAGGTCCCATCAGTGATATTTACATATCTACATGTAAAGAAAATAAAATATCCATGGTGAATGACTTGTTTTCAAGAGAAAGGAGATTGCACGAGAAAAACTATTACATTGCAGAGACATCTCTGGAACATGAGACATTGGAATTGGAGCACAAAATGGCATTTAAGAGACACAGGAGCTCACTCTTTACTAAAGACTCAGCTCAGAGTATAGTGCAGCTGTCCTTTTTATTCGCTCAACTGAATTTATCACTATGACCCAGAAAACTGTTTTCCACACCTATAGGGCAAAAGACACCCTGGACTTCAGCTGGTACTTACCCCAGTTGCATGCTTAAGCCAAGGTCTGTAAAGGTGTGACTCCTCTCTTACCACTCACAGGGAAGCTGCCAGGGCTTAGCTGCTCTGCTGCTTCATGGAGACTACCCAGTCAAGAAGGACATTACAGGATCATGCCCTTATTTCAGCATTTTGGACATATCTCTGCAGAGAAGAGTAAAAGGCTGTATTTCACAGCTATGATATCATTTCTGTGAGCTATATTTCAGCATGAGCTACTATAAAACCTCTCTCGTGACATCAGAGCTGTGAAATATAGCTGACTTCAAGTGCAGAAAATTCCCCCGCAGGAATAATTGTTTCCTGGCAGTTGGCATTTGAAGGACTGGTCCTTTAAAAGGCCGGCACAAATCCTGTCTAGGTAATGCTGCTCCAGGCAGCACTGCTCAGCAATCATTAAGTGAAGGAAGAGAGGTATGGAGCCCCACTGTGGGATCTGGCCATAGGGGCAATGAGACGAGCACTGGGGAGCCTGTCAAGTGATGATTTTCTCTCCCTCACACCTCAGCAATCCATACAGACTTCACTAATAGCAAAATAATAGGTTTGCTCATATTCAGCATTCCCCACCTTAGACCCTGCCTCCCCGGTAAGGTGATCCACATGTGCGCAGACAGAGCTACCGTCTCATCTGTCTTTTCATATCTGCACTCCAAGCACAGATCATGACGGGCGTGCTGTTAGATGGCAGCTTGCCAAGGCTGCCACTGCTCAGGGCACTAATTAACTCACCTGGGCAGTCCCCAGCCTCCCCACAAAGACACCTGGAAAGAAAATATTAATACTGAATTTGACTATTTAGTATTAATAACAGTAGGAAGCAGTAGCTAGCAAGAACCCACAGGTAGCAATGAATTAGCTGATTTTTTTTATTTTTGTAAGTTATTAATGAAATCATTTACATACATAACTATGTATTTAAAGATCCAAAACTCAGTACAAAACTCTGCGGTAGGTAACTGAGAAGACTAAAATGTCCACTTCTTACTGACTACCAAAGAGGTCTAGTATGTGGAGATACTGACAAATATGCACAGTAACTTCACTAACCTGTTTACCTGACCCTTCCTAAATGAAGTCAGAGGCAAAACACCTTAAATGTGAGGGAAAAACCCTGGAGTTATCTAAGTCCAGGCTCTTCAGCCCATAACTATAGCAACAGAATGCCTCCTGGGAAGACAGTATGCACTCTTGCTAGCCCTTCTTTGATGTAATAAGGTAACCTCATCAGGATCCCCAGTCAGAAACTAATCAGTTACATCCCAAACTTCTGGCAGTAAAAAGGGAAATGCCTTATTTGTCTTAGTCAGTAAATGGAGTTAAAGGAGGAAAAAAAACCCACAAACCCAAACATCAGGACTCTTTCCTCCTACTCAGTATAAATTCACTCAGATTACTTGAAGGACCACTTGTAACGTTTTGAACCAGAGACAGCCCAGCTTTTCAACAATCACTGTGACTCTTCTAGTTTTTTTACTTACTTGCTGAAGTAATGAATGTTAAGTACCTTTGAAAATTCTCAGAAAGTTGTTATTTTTCTTTTCAGAGATCCTTTGAGACTTCAAAAACTATTTAAAGAAGGAAGACAGCATGAGATTGGATTCAGTGCAGTAAAGTAGGTTAGTTTGAGGACAAGACAAAAAGTCATTATTTAAACCTTCTTGTGTTGCCGTGATGAGAACTTACCATTGCTTCTGGCTGCTGTTTTGGGCTGGTCAGCCCCACCAAAGTTTCTTGACTCCGTTATCCAAAAGGACTAGTGGCTTTCCAGAAAAAGAAAAGGTTTTGGTATTGTCTGGAAACAGCAGGCGAGAAGTCCATCGTTCCAAAAGGAGCTGGATGTGGAATCAATTCTTTTTATTGGAGGAATACACAGGAACCGACTACCAATATGTTGGCAAGGTAAGATTCTTTCATACGCATCTATGTTTTGATTTCGGAAATGCTGGATAGCCAGCTATAGCAAGTAGGTAAGAACAATGCCTGTTACAACTTTTAGTTTGCCTTCTTGTTTGCCCAGCTTCTGCTAAGAGTAGTTCAGCAGAAATATTCGTACACTTCAGATTCAAATTTTAATCAACAACAAATGAGGAAGTTCCTCATTTAACCAGCAAGTCCCATGGCCAATCATGCACAATTATGTTAAAGATTTTTATTTTTATTTTTATTTATCTGGAAATAATGCAGCCTAATTATAGTTTTGTCAGGGCCAGATTTAGCTTTAAAATGTAATATTCATTTTCCCTCATGCTCATTAATTTTGCTAGTCAAACTATGCAAACCAGGAGAGGTTTTGGTCCAAGGATATTCAGGATTCAGCATACCCATATTTTGGTGAGGATTCTCTCTACCCAGCAAAAGGCAACCATTTTCCTTTTTATTCCCCACTGCACACAACAGTGCTGCGGCAATTTTCTGATTTGATTTTGTCCACTGAGGGCTCTGTGACATGACCTTAATACCACAAGCCGTGCTACTACAAAGAGTTGAAGCACACTCTGCTTATACACTAAGAAGCAACAGGCAGCTGAAAATTTCTAAGCTCGAAGCATGCTGACAGTTAGAAAAGGATCTGTAAAAATAATAATAAAAAAATAATTGCAGATTAACTCTGAGAATATCTATCTCCCTGAGTAGCAGACCTCCATGTAGGTAACAAACTTTACGTGAATTGTAGAACTAATGCACCTGTGGTAAGTCTAGAGAGAGTCTATACTGCCCAAGGTGCCATAGTATATAGGATTCTCTCTTGCAGAATGCAGAAATTATGCTATTGATGACATTCAAAGCAGAAACAATACAGTTTAGTTTTCCAAACTGAAATGGGACTGTGTCTGATCTAGTTTGATCTCTCAAGCCTCTTAGCGAAGACTGCAGATCACAGAGGTTTGACATTTTATCTCCCTCTGCAAGCTTCTGAGCATTCCCATGAGATATGGTGACTGCTTTTCTTGCCTGCCAGTCAGCTGTCAGTCAAAGTTGGTTGTGACACTCCTTTCCTGCTAAATGCCTGCAAGGCATGATTCAAATGAAGAGCTACTCAGCTGGTATAATACTCATAGAGCTCTGACCAGGATAATCAGCATTCATGAAGGGAACCATTGAGCCCAGTCTACAGGAAAAAGCCAAAGGCAGAGAGTCCTTAGAGAGGAGAAGTAGAGAAGGAAGATAAGAGGGTACCAAAAAAAAAAAAATAAAGCCAGTAGAAAGAGGGAAAAACTAGAAAGACAGAGGTGGAAGGAGAGGAAATTTTACAAAGAGGAATCAAAATAGAGGGGAAAGGGACATCAAATGGAGGTAGAGGATAAGAGTTGGGAGAACAAGGTTATGTAAAGAGAGCACAAATGAAAATAGAAGGTGAGACATCAAAGAAAAAAAAAAAGGTAAAAAATATGGTGTCAAGGACAAAAAAAGGGAAAAGACAACAGTCCTCCACACACTCTCTTGTTTCACAATCTACTTAGAGGGATCAAGGTAATGGGGATCTCTTTCTCCAAAGATAAAGCATGTGGTCCTAAGGTGAGTCCTACAGACTGTCATTTTCACTATGAATTTCGACATTAAACCTGCTCAGCCCCAAGACTCCAATTCTCTCCACTGCAGAATTAGAGTAGAAGCTTTGGCTTCAGAGGGACTGATGGGGGAGCGATTATTACTGCAGGATGAGTTTGCTGAGAGACAGTTAAAAACCGATCTAATTGGACTAGAAAACTCAGAAGGTTTCAACTGGAGAGAAAAAAATGTGGATGTTACTTTAAAAAGTTTTCTTCTACCTATTGGTACTTTAATACACTTACTATTACAAAGCATAGAAACAACACATAATGTGTAAATGCCATTGATTCTGTGTTCCCCGGCTATTCACAAGTGGCCTTTCACATGTCTTTCAAATGCCAGAGTTGTTCACACCCCTGTAACTGAACAACTAGCCAAGAGGCATGGAAGAGCAGCCACTTTTTATTAGAGAAAGTTGAGTATTGGTGTGAGAATAAATGATAGAAACAGCTGAATGTCTACAAGTTGAGGTAGCCAGGCAATTTAACTGAGCAATTACACTTGATTGGTGTGGGCAAATTAGGATAATGAACATGCGTATGAAGCATATTTTTTCTCAGAGGACTAAATGCTAACCTTAAATATAAACCAAATCTGTTAAGAATATTTGGTTACAGTCTTTTTATTATTTTATATCATAAAGAAATGTGAAGACAAAAATCTTTCAAAATAATAGCAATATATGTATGTAAAGGGGAATTGTGCTTATGGCTTACTGTATAATCAGTCAGACCTGGCTCTTCATTTCTTTTGTTTAATGGTTATAGCTGATGGGCATTAACATAATTATAAAAAAAATTATTCCATACAAGCTACGAGAAAAAAGAAGTCTTTTATTTGGGCTGGTTTTACTTTTGCCTTTTCATTTGTTAACATCTGTTTAATTCAAACATATACATCAAAATATGAGATATAGGAAGCCTGTTGTGAAAGGTTCTAACGGCATTATTTCTATAAACTGCCCAAATTACAGTTGTAAAATCCTGTAAATGTTTATACTACAAAAACCACATTTATATCATAGTAGTTTTAGAGAGAAGGGGGAAAAAGAAAAGTGAAGAGGAATGGATTCAGGTTTAAGATAATAAGAAAGGTAATGTCTCTGAAGATAGAGCTCAAGGCAGTACTGAGAACACTGAAGCATCATGAAGCAGTCATGGACCACTGTACTACTCTGCTCTAAACTCCAAATGCTTTACATCTTTTAGAAGATAATTGCCTAAGCATATACAAAACAAAGTAGTTCTTTTTGGTAGCCATGGGTACTGTCAGATACTGAAAAGTGCTCTGCAGTTTTGTATGCTGCACATTTTACTGTCAGTCCGGGTATGCTGCTGTACCACACTGGACAAGAATATGCAGCTGCTGACAAGAAGGTCCCAGTGTTATCAATACACATGGATTGTATGCAGTGGCTCTGATCCATCATTTTATTATCCAGTATTTGTATTCATGTATATTCATAAAATAAAGCCTTTTAAAAAGAGTAGAAATTCACACCTCCAGTCTTGGTTAGTCTCAGACATAATAATATAAGGAACTTGCAGAAAAGTTCTAGACTGGAAATATTCATTGCACTACTAAATAACTTAGGAACTACAGCTATTCATTGAAGTGTGATTGATGGACACAGTGACATTTTAACCTGAAGATGTCTTGTCTTCTGGTTCAGAAATTATGGCACTTGGCAGGGTCTCAATCCCAAAATAAAATAAAAGGATTATATGAACATCAAAGTAGAGAAGTGCCCAGTACTACTACCTCACCAAAACCTGCAACATCTGAGTTGAGTTTTGAAAGAGATCTAGTTGTACCTGTGGCTGCCTAGTACAGTTTTAAAGGGATGGGGTGAAAACATCTCTAAATCACAGGTAAACAAAGAAGTGGTAGTGCAGCTGTATATAGAAATATATGCTACGTTCCTTAGAGATCTGAAGGTATTCCTGGGCAAAAGAGTGAAAAAAAAGTCTGCCCAGTTCGAAGATTATATTGAAAAATATAGTTACCTTTTGTATGCACTTGATGTCTTTACATGGCTGTCCCACTGGCTACATAAAATCCATGTACTGGCATCCATCACTTGTTAGTGCACAAACCTACAAATCATTGTTATGTAAAGGGATAGGATGCCACTTTCTTTTAGACTAAAGAATGATCTGAATGAGTCTTAAATCTTACTCATTAACCCAGAAACAGCTTCTGGAAGTCTGCAGGGGAAAGGAGCAACTTGTTTTTCTGATAACAACAGTCACAACTGTGGAACGGTTTTGTCACACTCTGTCTGTCCAACACTAAAAGAAAACTTCCAGACATACTTTTCATTTTTGCTGTGTCTTATTGATGTTCATAGAGTTCAAGCAGTATGCTCACCTGGAAGCTATCTGATGTTACTACCTGTACAACCCATCATAAACAATCATCCTCTGCTGACAACTTCATTTTTCAGGGAAGATAAAGTCAAAGTCCTGCTGCTATGTGGCTTGGCAAAGCAGAAAGGATACTGCATTATTGTAGGGAAAAAAAAAAAGAATCCTTTTGTTTGGTGTTGAAAGAACTACTGGGAAAGATAAATTCCCTTCTGTCAGGAATGGTTTAAGGTACTGTTGATTCTGCTTTGGAGGAGGAGGGGATGGACTAAATGATGTCACAATATAGTTTTAGTAATTTTTTTTTTTCCTTTTGCCTGATTTTACTTCTGGCTACAATTATTCCGAAGGCAAACAGAACCATTCCTTGCAGTGTATTTCACCAGAAGCAAATCAAACAAAAGGTGGAATCTCTCCAAACCCTTGCAAGTAGTGGGACTAAGTCACACACTGAGACAAAAATACCCAGCTGTAAGCACACACAAGGGGCTATTTAAACAAGGAAAATTATTGTCACATAATACAGTCCATGCATTTTCAGCATTTAAGGCAGTAATAGGTCACATTAATCCCATTATTAAAAGGTATCATATCTTAATTGGATAATGTGATAACTAGCAAGAGAAATTTTCACTTTCTCTCAGATCTTTAGTATGCTACCATTCTGTACGTATCATCAAAACTTTTCTTCCCCCAAAAAAGCAAGACCTGGAAAGTCAAAATAAAATGAGCCTTCCCATCTGCACTTTAAATATTCTTTATGCAGTTCTGTTGGCAAACACTGGTTCAGTATTTGTTTTACCTTGTAACTCGCACTATGATATACACCTGATGCCTTCAGTTTCCTATTCCAAACACAGTGACTATTTGTTACCTTTACAAGGCCTAAAATTAAAAGTTCCACTTGTGACTTCTATTTATTCAGGGAGTCTACTCAAAATAGTTTTCAATTTTTTTTTTTTTTTTTTTGACACTCAGATT